CAGTTCTCCTCCCTGACTGCAGGCGGCGCTGTGACGCCAGGACGCTCCTTCCTTAGTGACGGCGCAGGGCGGGGCTCCGGCTTCTGTAGTACGTGTGCTTCCCTGCAGTTAGCTTGCTTCCAGTGAGCTAACGCTACGGCTGAATTGAAGTCAGAAACATGGTGCTGCTTGAAAATGATTCGGTAAGAACAAAACGTACATCGTTAATAACTCGGACTGTTGTTGCTGTTGGTTATAAACTAAAACTAGATTCTGTCTGCGGTAGTTTTTAAACATCTAGCTAGCTGTTAGCCTGAACGTCAGGGGATCTAGTCGTGAGATTCACTAGCTAGCGTGCTAACATTAGCTAACTGTGGTTTCGAGGTAAGCTAGCAACTGAGTAGCTAGTTCAGTTGTTGTACTTTCTGGCATATTAACAGCTATTAAATGCCTCCCTTTGGCTTAAACCAACGCTGTTGTATCTTTCACGGAGCCGGTATAGTCAAGCATCGACTGTTAGCACTGTCTTTGAATGCAGACCTCATTAAAGCGGGTTTAAGTAAATATGTTTTCTGGCTTAGTTTCTGAGAACTAGTCAGGCAAAAGGTGTTAGCAACACGTACTCACTTAACAGTATACTGGGCTAAAGTAGCAGTTCAATTTAGCAGTTCAGTAGCCTGTCACTATGTTAATAATATGCCTGTCTCGTTTATATTCACAGACTATGAAACAGTGTTTAAATCGTGTTCATCTTTACGTGGAGCTGCAACGATTGTAGACAGTAAAAATAAGCATTAGTTAGATAGCTGCCAGCACAAACTAACGTGTTTAACAGTCTTTCCAAAGACAGATTGAATATTCTCTCACATACCAGTTTATTAGCAAAACCTGATCAAGACAGATACAGCCTGGTGTAACAGTGAAGTAGTAAAACCAACATCGATTTTTAAAACTTAGAAAGACAACAGATCGCCTGAATGGTGATTATTTACTTGATCACTTGATTGGTTGTTAATGTTGCTCATTGTTTCCCAAAGTCTTGCTTTGTACACAACCCTAAGTGATTTAATTTGCTGTCTTAAAGGAGCAAAAAAACAAACCTGAAGATATTTCTTTTGAGAACCTTGATTCAGAGGATTTTGCCTTCAGTTGACAACAAACTGGTGAATCGTTCCAGCTTTGAGTCGCTGTGGCATTAACACCAGATTTCTCTCTCAGTTCCTCACGGAGCTCACGCGACTCTTCCAGAAGTGCAGAACATCAGGCAGTGTTGTCATCACACTAAAGAAGTGTAAGTCTTCTTAGAAGTAGTAATATGAATTTCCTCTTTTGATGCTTCAGCAGCTGTAATGAGATGTGCTGTATTCTTTTCAGATGACGGTAGAACCAAACCGGTGCCCAGAAAAGGCCACTCAGAGTCATTTGAACCAGCAGATAACAAATGTCTCATCAGAGCGTCTGACGGCAAGAAGAAAATTAGCACAGTGGTGAGCCAACTGTCTTTACTTCATCAAACATCTGATCCTCAGCTGTGATTGCAGTTGATCCTAAATTCTCTTTTCTTACTGTTTCAGGTCAGCACCAAAGAAGTAATCAAGTTTCAAATGGTAGGTGGTTTTTGTGTTTTCAGTGTTTGGAAGCTGTTGAGCATCCTATCTTGTTTAGGTCTTCTTCGTGACCCATTTGTAGCTCTCCCCTAACCTTAAACTTATCTTCACAGGCGTACTCCAACCTCCTTAGAGCTCACATGGACGGACTTAAGAAGAAAGATAAGAAAAGCAAAAGCAAGAAAACCAAAGCCACTCAATGAGCGACAGACTCTTTAACATAACCATGGGTACCTAAACTGGCCTGTACAATCTGAGGGAACGGGAGAGGGCTCCATCCGATCCGCACCCCGTCCACTCGAGGCCTCAGAATCACTGTTCATCCACCCGGTGACTGCTTTGATATTACGCCATTGTTTGCATGGAAGTGTCTCATCCCCGGCTGTCCAGTGCCATCGGTGACTCGGAACAGAAAACCTGAGGATTTCTAATACAGTACGAAGCGAGCCAAGTTTACCCAGTATCCACCATTTCTGCTTCGGAACCAGGTTCTCAACAGCTGCGTCGCCTCTGGAGCCAAATCCACGGAGCCCAATGATTAACAGCCTTTCATATTATTTAATTGTAAGAGTCCCTATTTATGTTTTATTAGCAGCTGACGCATACGTCGCGTTGGCTCGTCGTAATTCTCTTCAGAAGGACATTTCATTTTATTTTTTTCTCCTTCGATGACCTTTCAACATGGGTGCTCAGAAACACGGAACTAAATCAGATCAGATTTTTTTTTATTTTTGTCAGATTTCACTGTATTTGATTTTGCTCAATATGGGAGATAAAAAGTTTTTATTTTACCTTTTGAAGTACAATGAATATTTTTGTGCCCCCCGTTCTGTTTGTACACGTCCACGCCAAGCTGTTAACTGGCCGTCTTGATTTGTTAAACACCAATTAAATGTACTGTAAAGCTTCAGTTAATGTGGTTAATTCAGAGTTACCGTTTCTGTCATGATTGAGTTAAACAGCACAAAAATGTTTGTAGATTTACTGAAAGGCATGTTTGAGTTATGAATACGGAGACAACGTGTTGGCTGTACTTCTAATGTCACTTCTTCTTGTTTTTCATAATTACAAGGTCGGTTTCAGTACAGCCAGACCGTTCTGTCAGCCACCTGTGTTGTCCCTTCATGCTCCTGAGTCCTGTTGTCATGGAAGAGGACTGCAGCAGAATTTAAGTTGAGAAATAAAGTGCTTTGTTTAAAGTCACTGTGTGTTTCTGTCCATTCTGATGAAGTAATAACTAAATATAAGCAATGTAGAAAACCAGACACTAGATACACTATGTACACACACATCTGTGCTGAACTGGTAAAAACAGTCTGTTGTGGGTCAGTATGGTCTCATAGCGCGGTGTTCTTCTTGTCCGGTCTTTCCTTCGAGGAGGCTGCGAGGTGGCGCTGCCGGGCGCTCTCCTCCTGGTAGCCCTGGTTCATTAGACTGGTCACGTACTGGAACATGGTCTGGATCACAAACAAAACAACATGAACTGGGTCAAGGTTCACATAAGTAAAGGACAGGACTTTAGTTCTTCCATCCAAGCTCTGAAATACATTGGCGGCAAAGGAATACTTCTTATATCTTATGACAAAATGAAAATGGACCGGTGTGTCACTTAAGAAGAAGACTGGTTCAATGTACTCTCAGCATGAGACAGAAAATTAGTAAGAAACTACCTACAGTCGTCCTCAAATGTATTCATACCCTTCCTTTAAAGAAAAGGCAAAATCTACAATATTCACTCAAATAACTAGAAACTGAAAAAAGTAATAAATAATAATAAATAAAAATTTGCTAAATTCTAATTTAGTGAAATCAGACATTGCTTTTGAACTGTGGTTGAAAATAATAATTTTAAAAAACAAACTAAACTGTCCCAGACAAATTAGAGCACTTTGCTGATGAACAAAGTGCTATCTTATCTTATTTTATCTTATCTTATCTCTAACCCTGTCTTGTCTTGTCTTATCTAGGAGGACACAAAATATTGAAGCTGACTATTTCAAAAAGGTTTTGTAGCTGTGTTGCCACTAGAGAGCAGCATAGGGCCTTAACTGAAAAGATGAACTAAAGTGTCCATGAAATAAACCTTGAATTTAACTGTTTCAACTTTTCTTCTCAGGATATTTTCAAAAATCTCCAAAAAACCAGCTACTAATGAAAAGGCATGTATGTAAAGTGAATGAATCCTGAGCAGAAGCGGCATCATTTCCAAGGATCTGCTCTGATCCTGCTGTGACATAATGTGATGTGACAGAGCCATGTTCCATTTCCTCAATATGCTCATGTATGGTTCAGTGAGATGTAAATGTTCACATCAGTCAAGCTCGTGTCGCGCTGGTTTCCATTTTGACATGTTACGTGGAGCATTGAGGAGACGTGCAACGACTGTGACGCTGAAGTGAGCCTGACACAAACCGGGGATGATTGCATCCATCCAGGCTATTTCACAAGGCATTAACCCAGACTGGGAGGTAGCAAAGGTTTCTGATTAATACCCAAACAGTGAGACACAGAGTTTGTGGCTGGATGACATTTCTTACCTTCCATGCCTCCTCCAGCTCGGATGTCCACCGCTCCTTCAGGATGGGCTGCACTGCACAGATGAATTCTGCTCCGACGTACTGGAAAATAATATGAGACACCGATGAGCTCATGGTTTGGAGACTAAAACTAGTATCTTTGTGATTATTTGCAACAGTAGGTGCGTTTAGGATGAATGTCACCTCATTCTGCTGCTGTGACTTTAAAGCTCTCAGTATAATGTCTAATAAAGAGCTCTATAAGCAAAGCAGCATCACACAAACAACCTGTACTGTTGGGATCATCGGGGTCTTACGCTGTAGTATTTGGGTGGAGCGTTGTAATGATAATGGCTTTTTCCCAACTCCAGAGCCAGAGCCTCCAGTCGCTCCAGCTGGTCCAGTCTGGCCACGCTTTTCTCAATAAAGGACATCACCCTGAAAGAGACGAGGGGGAAAAAAAACATAATACCCAGAGTGACTGATTGATTCCCCAGTTAAGTGTGAATTAGCAGGAGACGACGACCCACTGATGCACCTCCTTTGTGCATAAGTGGGACAGTCGTCTGCGGCGGCCTCGCAAACACAAATGCCAAGAAAAAGAAGCGAAATTGATTGCGCATCTATCAATCTGGCTCACACTTGGAGGAAAAACCAATTTATTATTCCCCCTGAAAACAATTTTCCCTTCACAAAATGCCACGGGATCAATTTCCTTTGTTGCCGTTTGTGGGTGTGTCGGCCTTAGCAGCAGAGCGCCGTGCATAACAGTTTTGAAGACAAACAAAGGGTTAGAGTTGGTTTAGCTCTCACTTCTGTCTGTCTCGCTGCGACTGTGGATGTCGACGCTTTAAGTCCATGAGTGCGGCTGAAGGGCCATTCGGCCTTATCACTGAATTTATGAGCAGCCGCCTCACGCTGGGATGTGTAACACTGCTGCAACGCCATGCTCCCCTCTGCACCTTCAGGTCCTCGTGCAGTAATTGGCTGCTTTGGCGTCATGTGTAGAGCAACACGGAGAGGCATGATGCACCCTGAGAAATGACAGACAAGTGGCTGTGATAGATGCTACGAGCTCGGTCTGCAGTGGAGTGGAGCACAACATTCTGATTATATGACCACCTGAGGGGTTTTGCTCCGCCGTTCACCCAAGCTGCTGTAATTACTCGACTTAAAAAGCCGACTCTTGATCCAGATGTTTCAGGCAACTTATAAGCCTCCTCTTTATTTCTAAAATCCTTGAGAAAGCTGCTGCAAAACAATCATGTTGCCATGCACATGGGAATATTTTTTTGTTTGTTTTGAACATTTTTCGTCAGGACTGGAGACGCCCCGGTACAAAAGCAGCACCAGTGATCGCCCTCAGACAGTGGACTCGTCTCTATATTTGTCCTGAGAAAGCTCAATGCTGCATTTTACCGCGCTGAAGACAACATTTTATTACAGAGACTGGAACATGTCATTGGGATTAAAGGAATCACACTCCATCTGTTTTCTTGCACTAATCTGGAGTCGTGTCACGGTGGCGGCAGCAGGCTAAGCAGGTCACTCCAGACGTCCCTTTCCCCAGCAACGTTTTCCTGATCCTCTTGGGGGGATCCCAAGGTGTCCCCAGGCCAGAAGAGATATGTAATCCCTCCTGTGAGTTCTGGGTCTATCCCAGGGCCCCTCACAGTTGAACGTGCCCAGAAAACTTCCCAAGGAAGACATGCAGGATTTATCAGATGGATTCCAGGAACACAAAAGTTAGTCACAGAGTTCTGTGCAAGGATGGATACTTTTCATCTTATACATGCTCCCTGTAGATAATATCATTAGGAAATACTGTATATAATTTCACTGATATGCAGATGACAGCCAGCTATATGTAGATGACACACAGCAATATGCAGATGACACACAGCTATATGTAGATGACACCCAGTTATATGCAGATGACACCCTGGTATATTAATCAATGAAGCCAGCACAGTTAGTCAAACTTCAAGTATGTCTGAAAAACATAAAGGCCTGGAACACTTGTAACTTTCTTCTTCTACATCCAGACAAAAGTTAAGTTATTGTGTTTGACCCTAAGCACCTCAGAAACATACTACATCACCATATGGATTACATTGTCTTGGTCTGAGTAACTCTGGAGTTATTTTAGCCAGGATATGTTCTTTAACCCACACAAGACTCTAGGACGGCCTTCTTTTACCTGCTCAGTATTGTCAAAATGAGTAATATCCTACCTCAGAGTGCTAAAAAAAACTAGTCTATGCCTTTATTACTTCTAGGCTGGACTATTGTAATTTGTCATAATCAGAAAGTCTCAACAACTGTCTGAAAAACTTCTAGTTGATCTAAAATATTGCAGCTGGAGTTCTGACAGGAACCAGCAAGAGAGATCAGATTTCTCTCATCTTAACTTCTCTACACTGGATCCCTGTAAAATACTAGTGGTTTCAGCAATCCTCTCCTGTGCAAGCATCTTCAGGTCTGGGTTTGGCATACAGACATCATCTCTGTTTTTAGGATTAGTCTTAAACTCTCAAACTCCCTGTTCTTGCATTTTCACCAATCAGCCACAAAATTAAAACCACTGACTGGTGAAGTGAATAACATTACGTATCTTGGTACAATGCAATGATCTGCTGGGAAACCTTGGGTCCTGACATTCATGTGGACGTTGCTTTGATGCGCACCACCCACATAAATGTGGCAGCATCCTGTCTCAGCAAAAAAAACCGCTCAGGAATAACTTGAGGAACACGACAGAGAGCCCAAAGTTCGGAGCCGATCTCTAAACTTCCCAGATCCCAATCTGATTAATAATCAGTGGGAACAAGTCTAATCCAAAGAAGGCCCCACCTACAGAACCCAAAGGATTCTTTGCCAACATGTTGGTGCCAGATACCACAAAATATCCCTAGAAGTTGTGTGTCAATGCAAGGGGGACCTACACAATATTAGTCAGGTGCTTTTAACATTATATACATCCATATATCCATCCATCTATCCATCCATCCATTATCTATACACCTCTTAATCCTCACGAGGGTCGCGGGGGGGCTGGAGCCTTTGTTGTATATATGTTATATGTATATCTACCACACTTGCATGCTGTTTACTTTGTGTCCTCTGTGCCTGTGTCTCTCTGCAGGTATCACTGGCAGCATGTTTCTGTAGTTACTGGCCTCAGCCACCTGTCTAGTGCTTACTGTTTGTTGATACTCAATGGTCATGTTTTCCCTCTTTCACCCCAACCGGCTGAGACAGATGGCCGCCCAGCCTGAGTCTGGTTCTGTCGGCGGTTTCTTCCTGTTAAACGAGAGATTTTCCTCCCCACTGCTGCCAAGTGCTGCTCAATGGGGAACTGTTGGGTTTCTGTCTGTAATACTCCAAGTAGTATTGTAAGGTTGTGACCTTACGATGTAAAGCGTCCTAAGATGACCTGTGTTGTGGGAGAGGAATTTAATTCTATCCTCTTATGGATTGTGTCTCATGCTGCAACATGCGCAGCAAGATTTTATCATCCAAAGAAAAACACAATTATCATAAAGAATACAGCCAGTGATGTTGTATTTCAGTTGACAAACTCCATAAAAAGACCAAGGCAGTATTATCTGTAGCCTCCTCTGTGCCATAAAGATCTCCTGTTGTCCAAAAAAACATTAAAAACACATGAATGAGCCACACCATCGCACTGGGTGACATGTTCCTCTGCTTCCAGGAACACTGACAGAGTGTTTTATGTGAGTTTCTCCCACATATGTGGTCCTGCTGCTATAAATACTCACTAGAGCAGAGGGTACTTGTACCCTAGGGGACAGTTCTCCCATGGGACACCTGGACAAGAACTATGTCACCTCACAGAGCCAAAACTCTCACTTGTTTTGTTTTTTGGATTTATGTCAAAATACAACCTATCTAGGATGGTTCCATTCTGTTCTGTGTGAAGTATTGGGTTGCAAAATCCTAGAGTCTTGTGTTGTTCTTTTTAAAAAAAAATCTGGGACATGTGGAGGAACAGGGCACCAAGGAGGCCAATATTTGGTTAAGATTCTCTTCACTGCGGATATCTTTGTGATGGAGAACCTCATATGCAGGTTGGAGGCTGGAGGGGACAGTAGGGGTGAAAATCACTGGACCTTCATCTCAAAGACCTGAGTTTAAGCCCCAACATAATTATAGATTCATTTGATCTGCTTACACACCAGAACTACTTAGTAAGTTTAAGAGAAGGATCATGGTTTGGGTTTGAAGAAAGCCTGTCGCTGCAAAACTTCCTTTTGTACGTTTCCAGGGTGTCGGCTTCACCGCAGGTTTTATGTGGTTACCTTCTGTTTATCAGTGATCAGATGGGATGATAATGTGCAGCACACTAGAAGGTGGAGGAGGTCCATACCGGCTCACATGCATGGAAATGATGTGCAGGGATGATGGGCCATTAAATGGGCTGAAAATGCACCCATCTGGTGTTTTAGTCTATGAAAATACCTGAAACTGGCTTAGATATAACTCTATATCATAGCTTTACCTGGAATGTGCAGATCTATGAAGCCCCTGCCTCTCTCTCTCCATGCACTCACTCGAGCACACCAGCTCTCCTTGGACTGAACTCTGCACTACAAAATGATAAACTATAATATTGTAGTAAGTCAGCTAAATGTGTTCAAGCCAGAAAATGATTCTAAAGAGGAATAATGATACAGAAAGTCCCACCCTGCAAGCTGACAAGATTGTTGTTGTTTTTCAGGTTTGTTACATCTGAAAGTCTGAATCTGTGTTTTTGAGATTGTCCTCAGTACACTGCAGTCTGATGTATATGTCTTCTAGCATATAAAAACACCATTTGCTCATGTTAACTGGGTAAAAAAAAAAAAACAACTTTCATAAATCTTAGAGTCACATACCAAAAAAAGACAAAAAGTTAAGTGTCTAAATATAGAGCCGTTCTTCCCAACAGGCTCTGCTCAGGTTTTTATTGCATTTTTCTTCTTTATCATTTTTTTTAACCTCTTGGAAGTGCTTTTAATAAAAAAAAAAAGAATCTTAAAATATGAAATGAACACATCTGGAAAATGACAGGCGGTGCTGACGAAGAGGCTCATGAGACAAACAAAGGTGGGAGTAAAGTAAGATCATCAAATGTGTATTTGCTTTGCCTGAAGCTGGCTGATGAATGTTTGCTAAAAAGTACGGCACGCGGCTGTTTTTCGGTATGACTTTGCCCTATTTAGAAATAGAAAAAAAAATGTATGTGTGAAGATTTGGTTCATGCTGGATCACAAAAGTCTCCAGACATGGCAGGAAAGTCACAAGCTATTAAGAGATGGACGTTACTGGTTTTGGTCTTTCTATTGGCTTTACTGACCGACAGAAACACCAGCTGTGTTCTTGGAAAAGATGTTTGCGTGACAGCTGTGATCTCTGTGACAGCAGCCAGTGATGCACTTTGACCTTTTAGTGTAAACAAACGTATAGGATACGAGTCATCGATATGTGTCCAGTGTGAGACAGTCAGTTCTAATGTATGCAGAGCTTTCATTGGCTGGTTTGTTCACAAAGCTGCTGTATTGACGTGCTGGGTTGTGCAGTCTGTTACTAACCTCAGGCCGTGAGCTCTGAGTTCCCGGCTGGTCCGCAGCCTCTCCAGGTCCTCCACGTCTCGGAACAGGAAGAAAACATCCTTGCATTCAGGATGGGTCTCAAACAACCTGTTACCAAGACAACAACAGCACAAGCAGCCGTTCGTGAGCATCTCGGAGCCACTCATGAAGCAGACCGTCACGTTTGTTCCCTCACACCGAAACAAACCTCGACCTGAGTTTACAAACTAAGATGACATAACCCCGAGAGTTTCAGTGTGGACAGTCACACAGCTGTGATCCTGCAGTGACGGAGCCACTACAGGCCTCACTATCATCCCCCACAGTTTGAATAAAGATCTGATTGTGCCTTTTATGATCTTACTCTGATTGTTCTTCCACTGCCTTCCGGATTTCACCAGAAACAGCTGCAATCAGTAGCAGGCCATGGGGTGATCTGTGAGTTCGTTAGCCAGCCAATCCATACACTCATTTCCACCCTGATGAGCCTCTCTGTCCGGTCAGAGCTGGGACGGAGACTTGGCTAAACGGGCTCCTGCTAGAGTTTCCTTATCCTGATTCAACCTCCTAAACCAGAGAGTTTAAGTGCGCTACCTTCCAATCAGAGATCCTTTCAGTCTCCAGCTGAGGTAGCTGTGATTAGTCATGCCACCAAAATACACAGTTGCCTCCTCTGGATGTGAGTCATATTGAAAGCACACTAAGATTCTGAGCTTCAGGTAATTCTGTTTTCTCAGCATAATGTCGGAGTTGGAAGGGAAAGCAAAATGATAGGTATTAAACCTTCTGGGTGTTTTCTAAAAGCATGAGCATGTAGTTTTATATTTACCAGCTGCTGTAGCACCTTTTGTAGAGGGAACTACCACAAAGGCAGGTATGAGTACTTAGGCAGGCGTTTGTACTGAAGTCTGACTTACACTGGTTTTTTAGGGCCAATGCTAATTTCAGGGAGTAAAACATTCTGGTATCAACTGATATTCTCTACATATAAATTGGAGTTATACTGAAAAGGGAAAATTATGGGTCATTGCTTATTAATTTTCCCACAATGCATTTCACAAACTAGAAAGCAACTTTCCATGAAGACACTGCTTGACTCTGCACCGTCTTCTCAGCTATGACACATGCTCTGCTACATGTGCTGCAGACGGCGGTGTGAGAGCGGCTCCGCTGGACGAACTATGTTATGACACCATTTCTAAATCAACCCAAGACGATTAATATACCAGCCAGGCTCTTGTTTATATGCCTGTCTGTGGATAGATTTTGCCAACATGGTAGCGTTACATCTGCGCATGATGCAGTCAGGAAACTTTACAGTGAGATCAAAATGAATGCTGAGCTTGAAAATGGGCACCCATGAGATCTGGGTACTCATGTAGTAATGTAATAATGACTATGAGTGCTCATGGGTGGAAGCATCAATATGTTGATGGGCATCGTAATTGGTGTGATCGCTTCTCTGGATAGACTCTAGTTTCCAGTTGCGATGGTGGAGCTGGTGTTGTTTTCACTGTGTGAGTCGATGCGTTTGTGTCATCATACTGTAGCAGGGAACCACCACAGTGGCAATTCTGAGTAGTTTTGTTTATACAAACAGGAGACAAATTAAAGGAAAAAAACTGAACCTTTAAAGCCTACAGTGAGGGGATCTGTGCAGGGCATGGTTTGGGTCCACTGGTCCTCTTAGAGGGAAGAATCAAATCCATACAAAGCTGCTCTGAGTGAAATTGTCCATCCTAATGGACGTGGTGTA